CCACGTTAGTCTAGTATTTACCATAAACATAGATTAAAGCTTAATATATAGTATAGTACAAGTTGATGAAATAGTATGGTAAAAGTAAGAAAATAAAGCCATGTCACATTCGTTTTTACCGCAATATCATGTGCGTAGTAAATATGTGGTCCAAAATATAACATGGTATTGTATTACATTGTTATACTATATGCCCAATAGTGTTCTTATGTGTTCTGTTCCATTTGAAAAAGAAAACGTTGATGACTATTCTATGGATATGAAAACTAAAGAAACACATATAAACAGAGCTGAAAAAGATATTGGTGTACTTGGGATGTACATTTTATGATATCTATAAACCATGGCCTCACTAACAATGTGAGTAATGTACTTTATGAAACATAAAAAAGTGTTCGACTTAGTTTGAATTCTATGTACAACTTTGATTAACCAATACAATGTTTCTATTCTACTCGACATTAACTCATACCATTCTATTTAGTTTTGTTGGTTAGAAACAACAATTCCTTCCAAGAAAAAACCCACAAGCTGCGATTCATATATACATGTAGGAGTTCCATACTATACGATTAGAAGGATGTACTATTTTGTTACAATATATTTAGGCTACTTCAGTTACAAATAGATCCAAATGCTTATACAATCATAAAATGTACACATATCCAGAGTTGTAGTGGCATAATTCTTGGTTGGGGAACCCACTTTACACATATCCAGAGTTGCAGTGGCATAATTCTCCGTTGCTGCACTTACATGTTCTTCAGTTAAAGCTAAACCATTCCATTCCTTTTCCANATATATTTAGGCTACTTCAGTTACAAATAGATCCAAATGCTTATACAATCATAAAATGTACACATATCCAGAGTTGTAGTGGCATAATTCTTGGTTGGGGAACCCACTTTACACATATCCAGAGTTGCAGTGGCATAATTCTCCGTTGCTGCACTTACATGTTCTTCAGTTAAAGCTAAACCATTCCATTCCTTTTCCACTAACATGCAATTCTAACAGAATAAGGGTCGCTACTGCCTAGTATCCTATAAACATCTGTATTAAGTTAGTTGTATAGAATCCAGTCATCAAAAATGACAGAACAATGAAGAACATATTACAGAATATGATATAAGTGATAAAATATACTTAGTATTAATTACACTCTATAGAGAAGGCTACAATGTGTAGCGTCTATGATACTTGAATTCATGGCAGTGGAAACAAGGCTATTCCGTATGAAGATATTCTGAAACAAGTCTATTCCGTGTGTACAGACAAAGATAGTCTATTCTACATAGAATAGAATGAAAAACAACAGTCTATTTCTGTATATTTGAACATAATTTTGTAATAGAATATAGAACATCATACTACTAAAAATAGAATAGAAATAAACTATGGAGTGGACTTGTAAATTAGTTAACAAAGAACCTGAGAACGACAACAACGATACATATATACATGCTTTAGATTCATATTATTTGATTACAGTTTGTACTATTTCTGGGTCCACTATATGTCAAAATAAGTATCGGCTACTATATTTACAACTAAAACCAAGATAACATAGCTATAAAATAACATGAAGATGTAATAGAATAAACTATTCTACATGAAAGTAAACCCACACAGAGATACAAAGAGAAACACACAACAACCAATGCAAATAAACATGGATCGGTTCTAAACTATGCAATTAGAAATCAATACTATGTCATAGATATGAATAGAAACAACCATACTATACAACATTAAAGCCACAAACTTGGAGGCCCAGTTCCTTACATAACCAGATTGTGACATGCAATCTCATTGGAAGGTATAATCGGGGAATTTAACAGAAACTAAAAGACTAACCTCTGTCAATTTTATTCCTTTTCTAACCGTCATCAAAATCCTTGCCGAAGTCAGTGACGAGAGCCCATAAATTCCACGACAAACGCGGCGGATAATGCGAGTAGATATTAGACTACGCCGCTTCTGAATCTACTAAAACCCTTCACTAGGAACAAAGTGGTTGGCGTCAATGTGCTCCACAGATCTGAAACTGATAACTAAAAGTAACCTTTAACGTTGGTTGAAGATGAAGAAGCCACGACATAAATGAGTAAAATGTAAAAAGGTTTTTTTTTTTAAAAAAAAATCTCTCAAGTCTAAGCCGGTTACTTGTGAGGGTATAGAGGTATTATTATAGAAAATATACGGTGTATCCTAGCATATTAGGTTAAAGAGTTATTTAGTTAATTATATTTTTTTTTATGCTATAGAATCCAATTTCCCTTAAAATAAATGGACAAGCCAATTTAATCTAACAAGGAAAGAAGAAATAAACCAACAACTACTCCTAGCTAATCCCTCATATATAATTGTCTCCTACATGAAAAAATAGATTATCTATCTGTATTATAAAACATGGGAAGTGAAGTAATAAATCCGATCAAACCACGGTTCGATCTGAGCATGTCGAGAAGGACCCGAAAACCATGGTCGTCAAGTCTCGTCAACGAGCTGCAACACCAAGACGTGTCCACGGAAAGCTCAAAACCGGAGAAAGAACAAGAGCAAGACGAGGACCGAGAGATTGATCGTAAGAGTTTGAACAATCTGATGAGAAGCGAGCAAGAATCAAATGGAGAAGCTAATGTTAACAACAAGAACTCTCTAGGTCAACAGTTCGGGGAAGATGAAGGGATCAAGCAGACAATGCAACTGGTGGTCAAGAAGCAAGGTGGGGAGAATGGTGCTAAATTCAAAGGTATGATGGGTCGATATGTTAAGGTTTTGAGCGGTTTAATGAAAGCCAAACGTGACCGCAAAACATCGGCTTTGCGGTTTAAAACATGACTTCGAATGTATTATGTATATACGTACGTACATGTGCCTAATACGTATATTCAGTGTAGAAATCTTTCCCGTACGTACGTATTATTGATGTGCACACATATTGTTCGCATATTTGTTTTGACTTTTGAGAATGTAATCTTACCACAATGTTATGTACATCCGTACGCACCTTTGGTTTTTGAATATCATTGCATGTTTTTTTGCGTTTGTTAAGAATCTCATTACATCGGTTTGCTGTGTTCTGAGCTCGTGCTAAATGTTTTCTGTTAGATTTGTATTTGTCCGACTAATTTTTGAGATCTTGGGGTGGCAGGGTGCTACAGTAGATCTCTATAGTAGATCTTTACTGACATTAGGTTATGATTTTAAGTTTGTACCTTTAAATATTTTGGTAGCTTTACGATTATTAAATATTTTAAAGAGACAAAATAAACATGATGAAACAAGCAAAGTATGGTTCTAAATATTAAGTCTGTTTGTATGTTCCACTTTCTATTTTCAAGTGGGAAAATCTCTATAATATTATTTGAGAAGTCACTTTCTTATGTGTCGCACTCACGTTAATTTTCACACTGGTTGATTACAATGATACCCCTAATGAATTAAAAAATATATGTAAATATTATTATTTCCTTTTAATTTTTTTTCCAAATAACAATATAAAATAAAAAGGAAACATGTATAAAGTTTACAAACTATTTAAAAACGAAAATATAAGTATATATAAATATGGTTTCATAAAAATGGAAAGTTCAAAAAATAGTAATATTTAATTTAAAAATATTTTAAATATAAAATATAATTTTGAAGTAATAAAATACTTTATAACTATATCTTCTTAGATGAAAACAATATTTGTATATAATGTGATTCCATAAAAAAAAGTTCACACAACTAATCTTTATATTAGAAAAAGAGATATTTTTATTTTAAAAAATAATTTTAAACAATAAATATATAGATTTTCAAAGTATTTGTTTTTGTATATATCTATTTTATTAGATGATTACATAAAATAATTAAGTAACATAAACTGATATATGTTTAATTGACAAAAAAAATTATAATTAGTATTCTTGGAATATATATATTTTTTATTTTAGTATATTTTTTACTATAATATCTTACATACAGCAAAAAATATAAATTCTATTTACTTATATAATATAATTTCTCAAAAATAATACCATTTTTACTGCATATTTTAAGAGATATTACAAAAAAAACTAAAAATGAATTTTAATAATAAACGTTTTTTGATCAGATAAGAAGTCATTTTCTTATGTGTCGCGTTCACGTCAACTCTCATGCTAGTTGATTACTATGATACCCCTAATGAATTAAAAAATACATTTAAATATTATTATTTCCTTTTATGTTTTTTCTAAATAACAATATAAAATAAAAAGGAAACATGTATAAAGTTTACAAAACTATTTAAAAACGAAAATATAAGTATATATAAATATGGTTTCATAAAAATGGAAAGTTCACAAAATAGTAATATTTAATTTAAATATATTTTAAATAACATAAAATATAATTTTGAAGTAATAAAATACTTTATGACTATATCTTCTTAGATGAAAAACAATATTTGTATATAATGTGATTCCATAAAAAAAGTTCACACAACTAATCTTTACATTAGAAAAAGAGATATTTTTATTTTTAAAAATAATTTTAAACAATAAATATATAGATTTTCAAAGTATTTGTTTTTGTATATATCTATTTTATTAGATGATTACATAAAATAATTAAGTAACATAAACTGATATATGTTTAATTGACAAAAAAATAATAATTAGTATTCTTGAAATATACATTTTTATTTTAGTATATTTTGACTATAATATATTACAATTACAGCAAAAATATAAGTTATATTTATTTATATAATATAATTTCTCAAAAACAATACTATTTTTACTGCATATTTTAAGAGATATTAAAAACAAAACTAAAAAAGCATTTTCATAATAAACATTTTTTGATCAAATAACTATAATTATCTTAAAATATCATTACATTATATAATTTATCGAAGTAGATATATTATATTTTAATAGTTAAAATTATATGTTTTCTTAATAATTCTTTTGATTTTTAATTATCTGTTTTTATGTTCGTGGAACTTAATATAACCATAATCAAAATACTTAAACAAATCAGAATCCTTATTTTTAAAATTATATAAAATAAATTTCAGTTTATCATCTAATCAGTCAAAATATTGTAAATATTGATATGTGTTCATAAGTTTGCAAAAATTTATTAGTTACGTAAGTATGTAATTTAGAATCATGATATACTTATATTTCTAAGATAACAACCGGCATTAATGCAAATAAAAAAATTAATCAAAAATTTAATATATTTAGAATAAAAAAGATTATAGTTGAATTCAAAGAAATATATAGAATCTAATATACCTGAATGATAACTAAATCGACCGTAAAAACAATAAAACTGACGAAATATAACATATATAAAATTATATATAATTAAATTAATATAATATTATTAATATAAATTATACCTACAAATTATAAATTAATTTTAAATTTGAGTCAATATCAACCAATTATTATAATATATTTATTTTCTAAATATTTATGTCCGTGCATGAACACGGGAAAATCGCCTAGTGTAAAATAGATATTAAGGCTAGATAGAGATACCATAGAAATATTTTAGGTAGTTGTTTGAATGATACATTGTGACATAGATGGACAGTATTAACTGACGCTACCTGACTGTTTCTCCACATCTCTCTTTTTCGCCACTAAATATAATTGTAAGCTTAGGGCATCTTTAAGATATAACATTATTAGTGTTAAAATCACATTATTTTAGTGTGATTTGAATATTAATCTTTTATACTAAAATTATAGTATTGTATTAAAATAGTATAATGTAAAATTAGTGTTATATCAAGATAATGTAATTTTTAGTATTAGTGTGGAGAGGTTTATAAGTATGAAAACACACTAAAATAGCGTTTTGGTTGCAAATGACCTCGGTTAATTTTTTATGTCTATATGTAACTAATTTGCTAGTGAATTAAACTTTTCGTTTTATTTGTAATATTTTTTTTTTTTTGAAACACTTGTAATATTTTATATCGTCAAATATACAATACAATTTATGTTTTCTTGTTCAACTCAATGCAGTTTCTCTTTAATTAATAAAAATATGTATGACTCTTTAATTAATAAAAACTAGATTTTGACCCGCACAACCGTGTGGGTATTTTAATACGAAAATATTTGAAATTATATGATAAAATCTATCAATAAATAAGTATAATTTGATTATTTATGCTATCCAATTTTATAATCATTTTTATGTGACTTATAATATTATTAATATAAAATTTATAAATTTTTATTTTTGTAATAATTTTTTTAAAAAATTATTATGTAAGATTACTAATTTATATATTTTGTTTTATTTCTAAATTTGAAATTTATGTAAAAATTAATTAAGTTGGACCTACATAATACATAAACAAAATTTTGAGATATTGTTAAAAGTATTTTACATAATTTTAATTTTTTGTTTATAAATTAAAATGAATTAAAATTTTAATTATATTTTATGATAATTATATTTTACAGTAATTAAAATTTAATCAGATAATTGTTGAAACTATATATTGAAAAGATTCTAAAAGATTTTTAAAAGATTTTGTTTGAATTTTCTTAAAACTATTTATTTGTATTTCAAATAAAATTAAAGATGTGAAAAAATATTATATTAATGTTATGTAAAATTTTATAAATTTCTAAGGATGGTCCAAATTAAAATATCACACATTAAGTGAGTCATGACTTCTATTTTAATATAATAGACTAGATTTTGACCCGCGCAACCGCGCGGGTGTTTGTTTTCGTTTATAGTTATATAAACATTTTGTTTTCACTTGTAAATTGGTATATATTATAGTAATCACATATTTACGATATGTATAGTAAATGTTTTTCAAACATAATAATATTATATAATAAGTGTTTTAATCAAATAGATTGTTTCAAATTTTCTATATTANCGAAATAAATTTATCTAATATATATAACGTGTAAATTTTGTTAAGGTATATAAATATTACATATTAATAATCTGTGATTTTTGTTAATATATTCTGGATGCATTTAACTATTATTGACATATTTCCTTATAAATAATAGAAGATTCCTAAATTTATATCTATTGACATATTTTGCGTGACTAAGTTGGAAGGTGTGGGAATAATTTACCAAAACAAAATTGTTAAGCATATTATAAGATATAATAATGACAATATTATTAGAGAGTTAATGTAACATAACTTTCTAGTAACAGTCCATTTTAAAAAAAATCACACATGAAATCAAGTTATGACTTCTGTTTTAATATATAAGATTATGTATGGTAATTCCAAATTACATAATTTTTTTCTCTTATGGAATCTGACAACGCGTGGTGATTGTATAGCTAACCTCCAAGTGAGTGATGCCTCATTTCGGAAAAGATAACATATAATAACATTATAATAACAGCTTCTTTAAATAGTTCTGACAAAATAAATACTATAGTTCAACCATATTACCTTTTAAAATGTTTCTGCTTAATCTCCTATTGTACCTTGTATTATTGTATATTTGTATTACGTATTAATTACATTTTACCAAAAAAAAATGAAGTTATTACTGAGTGCGATTTACTCGATACACTACTATACATTATATTTACTACATGGACATGGGAGAATAAATATATGAGAAAGTAGAGAACTCAGAAGTAAGGAAATGGTCGGTTGTACGTGGCATGCTTTCCTTGGATACATTTTTACCGATAATTCTGGAGATGCATGGCTTCACCGACCTTGCTAAGGAACCTTTTGTATTGCACCGTCAAAAAGCAAGAATCATTAATTAAAGTGCCTAATCAGCTCTTTTACAATTATTTTATTTTGTGGTACCATTATGCACAACTAATACGTAAAGTAATAAATTTTATGAATTATACTTTATTGTTTTGATTCGGTTTGGTTTGGTCATTGTTTATTGATTAACATCACAATGTCGGTTAACCCTCGGTTAATTCAGTTTGCTTTATAAACCTATGTATAACTTTAAATAATATGTCAGATGGTACACTGTTGTGTAAAATTCAATACAGTATTGTAGGATCCTAAGCAGATGATCAATTTTATTTCCCTTTATAAAACGAACTCATCCGTCAACTTCTGAATCAAAACATCAACAGCCTCAAACTCTCTACAAAAGAAAAACACTTCCACAAGAAAATAAAGAAAGCAACACTCAAGATTAATCTAAGTAAAAGAGATAAGTCATGGGAAGAGATCACGAAGAAAACCCTCCAGTTCCACTACATCTCTGCGTCTTTGTCTTCATCCTCTTAATGTTCGTAACTATTTCATGGTATGCGAGCTACGAACCAGTTATAGAAGGTTTTACGGACCAGCTCAAGCTTGCTCTCATGGCTTCTCCTCTGCTTTTGCTCTTGGCCGTTCATTTTCTATCCAACGGTGAAGGAGGAAGGATGGTGACGTCATTGATACCTTTGAACGAGAGAGAGTCTTTGTACAGAGCTGGAGGAACGCCGTGGGGAGTGGCCTTCATGCTCGTTTTCCTTTTCCTCATGGTTTCTTTTCAATCTCAGTTTCAAGAACGTTGGTTTACTCTAAGATAAAAAGGAATCGTGTATGTGTATTTTCTCATTGGGTCTAGAATAAAAGATTCATGATAATGTATGTTTAATTTTTTATCGTTCTTCTTAATTACCATACCATTTTATGTGCTTTTTAATTATACTGTCTCATTGTATATAAGCTTTTTGGTATCAGCACAAATAAATATGGGCAGTGAAGTATACAAAAATTATGTCAATGGAAAAAAATATTTTCTAAATAATTGTTGGACACATTATTTTTGTAATATGATTGGTTTAATACTAGGGGTGCATCAATAGGAAGTAGCCAATAATTTCATTTCATAAATCAGAATGAAAATTGAATCACAAGAAAAGTTTATGCTTCTTTTAGCAACAAGTTGTTGCCGAAATGTGTGGCAGCAACTATATTATTTTGGACGCCTTCCATTATTTTAGTGTTGGGCTTTAACACCAATCTTGGCAGGTCCATATATCTACCAAATGCCATTCATGTTCATGTAATTTTGGACTTTAGGCTTTTGTCTGGTACCACGGCAAGGAGATGAAGTAAAATTTCCCAATTTCTTTTCTTGTTTTGATATATTCAGAAAGGTGATGAACGATAGCTTCTTAATAGCATCGAGCGATCCTCATAAATTAGTCCAAGTCTTGCTGTCACTGAATACACATATTCAATTATTTCTAATAGTCAAGATCAAGAAAGAGAACCGTGGTCTGAAAATGACCATCATTAGTTGGCATGAGTAGTAATATACATCTCGTGGGTGTATATGCATGATTTCCGTTTTCTAAGAATTCTTTGAAGCATTTTCATTAATTTATGGTTTTGTGTCCAACATCATCAATGTATGGTACCCTATATGTTAAAAAAGACCTAAAAACGGAATGGAAATCGTCATATTTCATGTTCAATTCAGTCGATGAGAATAAGAATAGGTTTGTCATTCTCAAAGATTTTACTCCAATAACGTAAGAACATTGAAACATGGATCGGTGATGTCGTTGACATTCCATGCATGATTAGTTGATATAAAAAATGCCGCAATAATACATTGAAAAGAATAACAACATCGGCGCCTCTCTGTCTTCTCTCTATATCTTTCACGTCGTTGTGTTCTTCTTCAATCACAGTTTGACTTTCCGTTTATTTTGTCCTTCAATTCTCTCCTTCATTCAAAGGTTAATTTTATTCTTCTTTTTAGTAGCTAATGGAATACATGATTTTCTTTTTTTGTGTGGATACTTGAAGATGGTTGTGAAATAAGGTTTTTGGTGACTCGGTTTAGACGTAAAGTTTGTGCTTTACACGTATCATGGTAACTTTATTTACGTATGTTCGGAACCTTTTTTCTTTTAACTAATAAATGCAACTTTATAGCATTTGTGGTCTCTTTTTCCATTATATCGATTTATTATTTGGACTGAATCTCATCTTCCTTGGAAACTAAGCAATCCATGTATTTTTTAAAAATTTCTGAACGCTATTTAATGGCATTCTCTGTCTTTTCCCCTTCATGAGCCTGTGATTAACTCTTTTGTTTTAGCTCATATTGTTCCTTAAGTTTTTTAAAAGCTCTGTAAATTTGAAGAAGTCTTCATCAGATTTCTTTTTCTTTTTTGAGGATTTAGAAGATGTCTCAAACTGCTGGTAACATTGGAATGGATACTTTGGACAGTGAAGTGGTGCCATCTTCTCTAGTGGAGATTTCTCCGATCCTCCGTGTATCCAATGAAGTAGAAGCTAGTAACCCTCGTGTTGCGTACTTATGTGAGTTGAAATAATGTTAAAGTCCCCTGATAATATCATAGTGACTACTCAATGTAAAAATCCCCTGATGATGTAAACAAAAATCATTGGTTGTTGTTTTTTAGGTCGCTTTTATGTGTTTGAGAAGGCATGTAAGCTTGATCCCACATCAAGTGGTCGTGGTGTTCTACAGTTCAAGTCTGCGCTTCTTCGGCGCTTAGAACATGTATCATCATTTCATTAATTTACACATAAAATTCTTGCTGTGTGGGGATTATGTGTCAGTTTACCTAATTTCTTAAACTTGTGCAGGAGGATGAAACAACTCTTTCAGGAAGGCAGCAGATTAGTGACGCACGCGAAATGCAAAGTTTCTATCAAGACTACTACAAGAAATACATCCAGGCTTTGCTCAACGCTGCTGACAAAGCTGACCGGTTTGTGTTTCATGAAACTGTGAATTAGGATCGGTGTTTTTATATCTTGTTATGTTTTTTTTAATATGTGTTTTCATTCATAAAACAAAGTTTTTTTTGTACGTAGTGCTCAACTTACAAAGGCTTATCAAACTGCTGCTGTTCTCTTTAAAGTCTTGAAGGCTGTTAATCAAACAGAAGATGTGGAAGTGGCTGACGAGGTGAGTACATATCTAATAGTATTCATGGAGGAAACATGTTGATATTCTGATGAACTTGGGTTATCAAATTGTTGCCTCACTCATTTCTGTTCATCTTTTTTTTCTTGCTGGTTAGATTTTAGAAGCCCACAAAAAGTTTGAAGGAAAAATCCTAATCGACGTGCCTTACAACAATCTTCCCCATGATCCTGATAGTCAAAATCAGGCTATAACAAAATTTCCTAAGGTTAACCTAATAAGCATATATATCCATTTATATTTAGTCGTGTTCTGACTTCTGAGTCAGAAAAATAAACACTTTCACTCTCTTCTACAGATACAACCCATAGCTATCGCACTTCGTAACACTAGAGATCTACCATGGCCAGCAGGCCACAAGAAGAAACTCGATGAAGATATGCTAGACTGGCTTCAAACCGTGTTTGGTTTTCAGGTGATAGAAGTGAATATACTGTATTTGTTTTGTTGATTCAGAATATTCTCCATGTGCTGACTGTGATCCAAACCTTTAAATGACAGAAAGATAATGTTGCTAATCAAAGAGAGAACTTGATTTTGTTACTTGTTAATGTCCAAATTCGACAGTTTCCGAGACCTGAACAACAACCAAAGGTACTGTATGTTTTCTTTTGAACTTCAATCATGCATCAAACGGTCTAATTTACAGTTTTTGCCTTTAGTTGGATGATCGCGCAGTGAGTTTTGTGATGAAGAAAATTTTCAAAAACTACAATAAGTGGTGCAAGTATTTGGGTCGGAAAACCAGCCTCTGGTGAGGATTCTCCTTGTAACGTTTTTTTTTTTTTTTTTTGCTTTTTAAAAACATAGGAAAGAGATGTAACGCCCTGAGGTTTTCTTACTTGTTCGTATCTATTGTTCTGTAGGTTACCTACGATTCAACAAGAGGTTCAGCAGCGGAAACTGCTATATATTGGACTTTATCTTTTAATATGGGGAGAGGCTGCAAACCTAAGACTCATGCCAGCATGCCTTTGCTATATATATCACCATGTATGTCTTCAGTTTCTCCTATGTGTTTGCCTTAGTGTGAAACATTACATTTTGAGTTTAGAGAAGAGCGTGTGAGTTCAACTCTTGGTGATCTTGGCTATTACATAGACATAGTTATCAAGTAGTAAACTCTAGAGAGCTGAAAACGTAATGTAAAAAGATGAGGAAGTAAACCATATCCATTTGAGTATTAGTGAGAGGAACTTGAAAAATTCACATGGTGGAGACAGGAAAAAAAATTGGTTATATTGCGACATCGTGAACTTAGTAATACATCTATCTTATTAAAGTTGTAGTACTCTTTAGGTTTGTTTGGAAACTTAAATAGTAGTAATAAAGAGTTTAATGTTGTTTGGCTATAAGTTTAAAGGAGTTGGGCTTTTAAACATTGTTATAATATAATTGGGCTTTTGTTTAATTTATTTTATGTTATGGTTGGCTTTAATCATTTGGCCCATTGTAGTAATTTGTGTTTTTAGTTTATATTTTATATAAAGACCATATTCAATTTTATTTATTGTTGATTAAATTAAAAATAACATCAGTTTTTATGATAATAACAATTTACATTTCAAATAATTCAATATTCAAATATATTTTATCTAAAGTATTTTACATTATTCAAATTATCATAAAGACACAAAATATTTGAATAGTTTTAACTAAAATATTAAAATTTTGTTTTCGTAACTGGATATTTATCCGAAACACCTATCCCCCCCCCCAAAATTAGTTTTACCCCGATTAATCTAAAATTAATCCTAGAAATCGTAACCAAACTGTTATCATATTGGAACCAAAAATTTATCTGATATTAGTCGATTATTATAATTATTACCAAACTCAGCTCAAACCAAAAGAATCGAACCGGACGCAAATCAATTTATATAGATAACAGAACAGATCTTATATCTGTAAAATTAAAAAACTACGAACATAAAGAATCCAACAAAAGTTGAACCCAAAATCAAACCCCAGTCCTATTACATTCAATACGATCATAGTTTTTGAAATACGGTAATAACCGATGACTTATGAATATATTATGCTTTTCCAAATTAAGTTAAACCCGCGCCAGTGCGCGGGTCAAGATCTAGTTTATATCTATCTTATTAAAGTTGTAGTACTCTTTAGGTTTGTTTGGAAACTTAAATAGTAGTAATAAAGAGTTTAATGTTGTTTGGCAATAAGTTTAATAGAGTTGGGCTTTTAAACATTGTTATAATAGAATTGGGCTTCTGTTTAACTTATTTTATGTTATGGTTGGCTTTAATCATTTGGCCCATTATAGTAATTTGTGTTTTTAGTTTATATTTTATATAAATACCATATTCAATTTTATTTATTGTTGACTAAATTAAAAATAACATCAGTTTTTAAGATAATAACAATTTACATTTCAAATAATTTAATACTCAAATATATTTTATCTAAAGTATTTTACATTATTCAAATTATCATAACGACACAAAATATTTGAATAGTTTTAACTAAAATATTAAATCTATCTTATTAAAGTTGTAGTACTCTTTAGGTTTGTTTGGAAACTTAAATAGTAGTAATAAAGAGTTTAATGTTGTTTGGCTATAAGTTTAAAGGAGTTGGGCTTTTAAACATTGTTATAATATAATTGGGCTTTTGTTTAATTTATTTTATGTTATGGTTGGCTTTAATCATTTGGCCCATTGTAGTAATTTGTGTTTTTAGTTTATATTTTATATAAAGACCATATTCAATTTTATTTATTGTTGATTAAATTAAAAATAACATCAGTTTTTATGATAATAACAATTTACATTTCAAATAATTCAATATTCAAATATATTTTATCTAAAGTATTTTACATTATTCAAATTATCATAAAGACACAAAATATTTGAATAGTTTTAACTAAAATATTAAAATTTTGTTTTCGTAACTGGATATTTATCCGAAACACCTATCCCCCCCCCCCAAAATTAGTTTTACCCCGATTAATCTAAAATTAATCCTAGAAATCGTAACCAAACTGTTATCATATTGGAACCAAAAATTTATCTGATATTAGTCGATTATTATAATTATTACCAAACTCAGCTCAAACCAAAAGAATCGAACCGGACGCAAATCAATTTATATAGATAACAGAACAGATCTTATATCTGTAAAATTAAAAAACTACGAACATAAAGAATCCAACAAAAGTTGAACCCAAAATCAAACCCCAGTCCTATTACATTCAATACGATCATAGTTTTTGAAATACGGTAATAACCGATGACTTATGAATATATTATGCTTTTCCAAATTAAGTTAAACCCGCGCCAGTGCGCGGGTCAAGATCTAGTTTATATCTATCTTATTAAAGTTGTAGTACTCTTTAGGTTTGTTTGGAAACTTAAATAGTAGTAATAAAGAGTTTAATGTTGTTTGGCAATAAGTTTAATAGAGTTGGCTTTTAAACATTGTTATAATAGAATTGGGCTTCTGTTTAACTTATTTTATGTTATGGTTGGCTTTAATCATTTGGCCCATTATAGTAATTTGTGTTTTTAGTTTATATTTTATATAAATACCATATTCAATTTTATTTATTGTTGACTAAATTAAAAATAACATCAGTTTTTAAGATAATAACAATTTACATTTCAAATAATTTAATACTCAAATATATTTTATCTAAAGTATTTTACATTATTCAAATTATCATAACGACACAAAATATTTGAATAGTTTTAACTAAAATATTAAAATTTTGTTTTTGTAACTGGATATTTATCCGAAACACCTACCCCCCCCCCAAAATCAGTTTTACCCCGATTAATCTAAAATTAATCCTAGAAATCGTAACCAAAACGTTATCATATTGGAACCAAAAATTTATCTAATATTAGTCGGTTATTATAATTATTACCAAACTGAGCTCAAACCAAAAGAATCGAACCGAACGCAAATCAATTTATATAGATAACAGAACAGATCTTATATCTGTAATAATAATTTATATAGATAACAGAACAAATCTTATATCTGTAGAATTAAAAAAACTACGAACATAAAGAATCCAACAAAAGTTGAACCCAAAATCAAATCCCAGTCCTATTACATTCAATACGATCATAGTTTTTGAAATACGGTAATAACCGATGACTTATGAATATATTATACTTTTCCAAATTAAGTTAAACCCGCGCCGGTGCGCGGGTCAAGATCTAGTTTACATTATAATGTTTTTATATCTAAGTCCGAGTTTAATATTGTATGCTAAATTCATTTAGATGGCTTTTGAATTGTACGGGATGTTGGCTGGGAGTGTGAGTCCGATGACAGGGGAGCGTATAAAACCAGCATATGGTGGTGAAGATGAAGCCTTCCTGCAGAAAGTAGTGACTCCTATAGACAATAGAGTAGCTAAGGTTGCTTGCTTTGCTTCTTCACTCTTGACCATTTTGTCATCTTTTGCTGTCTAACAGTTCCATTTCCTCCATTTTTCATCATGATATTCGTGTATTTTAGGAAGCAAAGAGAAGTAGAGGAGGAAAGTCGAAGCATTCTGAGAGGAGACACTATGACGACTTTAATGAGTATTTTTGGTACAATGCAGATGTTTATCTTGTAGGCTTCTAAAATGTCAGGTCATTTACAGTTTTGCATGATTGAATCTCTTTGTTTTTTCAAGTTATAGGTCAACTCGGTGCTTTCAGTTAGGATGGCCTATGCGAGATGATGCTGATTTCTTTTGTCAGACAGCTGAGGAACTTCGAAAAAGTTATAGATGGTTCTCTGCTTTTGCTCTTGGCCGTCTATTTTCTATCCAACGATGGAGGAGAAATGATGACGTCGATGATACATTTGATAAAATATTAACGTTTATGTAAACAGTTTCTTTTGATAAAAAAAAGATAACATATAATAAACCAAACTAATAATAAGTTAAATAACAGCTTCTTTTAATAACCATTATAAATAAAAATATATCCTTGCTTAATCAAGTTCTATTGTTATTTATGAAAAAATGTTGTATTGTACTCCCTCTGCTTTTAAATAAGTGTCATTTTGACTCTTTGCACATAAATTAAGAAAATTGTATAATAGACTAATATATCTCTATTTAATGTATGTTTAATTAAATGAAAATAATTTAAGTAAAATACTATTGGTTATTCAAAAGGGTAAAAAATAGATTTAATGTACATAATTACAATATTGGGCTTGTAGAATGACACTTTTTTGAAACAAAATTAAAAGGTTAAAGTGACACTTATTTAGAAACAGAGGGAGTATTACATATTACAAATTTATCACTATCATACTAAGTGCAATTTATTAGAGAATGATTAATAGGAGAGACATTAATTATAGCTAATTCAATGGTACCAATGGTTACAAACAATAAATAACAATGAATTTTGTATGGATACTAGAAAACAATCTAAAACAAAAGTAGATTTTTGAAATCTAGAGCAGCATCACCTGCACGATGCCATTCACGTGCACTAACTTAGACTATATTCTCTCCATCTCATATTATTTCGGTAAAATATTTCTTATAAAAAGTGAGGTAGTTTCTTAAACGTTTTGGATCCAACATCAATGTATGGTTTATATGTAAAGAAAAAAAATCTAAAAACTGAATGAAATCGACATATTTCAATTTTCATGTGTAATTTCAATCTAAATGAATAAGAAAAGTTTGCAATCTCAAAAAAAGTAATAGCGTGAGAACAAAGGAACAAGGATCGGTGATGTCGTTGACATTCCATGATTGGTTGAAATAAAATGTTTTAACAATACATTAAAAAGTCAGCGCCAGTCTTCTCTCTATATCTTTCGTGTCGCGACGTTATGTTCTTGTTCAATCGCAGCTTGACCATTCGTTTCTTTGTCCTTCACTCATTCAGGTGATCCATGAAGCACTGAATTTTTTTTTTTGGCTTTGACTAAATATTAAGCACTGTTTTGCTCGAAGTTTTGATTTTGGAAGCTTAAGTCTTTGCTTCTATTTTTATTTTATTTGTTTGCTTCGTGACTAATCCAAAACTTATTAAAGGTTAACTTAATACGTTTTTTTTTGTGTCTCGGTATAGATACTTAAAGATGGTTGTGAAACAAGGTGTTGGGTGACTCGGTTTCGTTATAAAGTTTGTGCTTTACACGTCTTAGGCTAACTTTATTTTCTTCTGTTCGAAACCTTTTCCTTTTTACTATTAAATGCAACTTTTTTTACTCCTTTTTTTCCATGATATCGATTTATTATATGGAATGGATCTCATCTACCTTCATAATTAAGCAATCCATGTCTCTTCTTCTCTTTTCCGATCGCTATTTAATGGCAGTCTCTGTCTTTTCTCCTTCCTGAGGTTATAATTAACTCTTGTTCTAGCTCATATAGTTCTCTAAGTTTGTTCTTTATGGTGATGTAAAAGCTTTTTTGGAAGGATTTTGAAGATGTCTCAAACTGCTGGTAACATGGGAATGGTTAATCTCGACAGTGAAGTGGTGCCATCGTCTCTTGTGGAGATTGCACCGATCCTTCGCGTAGCCAATGAAGTAGAAGCTAGTAACCCTCGTGTTGCGTACTTATGTGAGTTGAAATAATGTAAACATCTCCTAGTGATGTGATTAATCAGTGGTCAAAAGAGTTTTAAAAAGTTCAATTGGTTTGTTTTTTTCTCAGGTCGGTTTTATGCCTTTGAGAAGGCATGCAAGATTGATCCCACATCATGGCATCGTGGCGTTCGCCAGTTCAAGACTGCGCTTCTTCAACGCTTAGAACATGTATTATCACTTAATATATACTTTGCTTGAGTTTCATTTTTATGTTGTCTTGCCAATAACATCGTTGCTGCATGGGGGGGGGGGGGATTATGTGTCACTTTACCATATTCGTTAAACTTTTGCAGGACCAGGATTCAACAGCTCTTGCAGGAATGAAGAAGGGTAGTGATGCAAGTGAAATGCAAAGTTTTTATCTGCACTACAACAAGACATATATTCAGCCTTTGCTTGACGCTGCTGACAAAGCTGACCCGTATGTGTTTGATCAAAGTGTTTATTCGGATCTGAAATTTATCTCTTTTGGAATCTATCTTTATGTGTCTTTCATTCATAAATACAAAATTTGTTTTGTCTTGTAGTACTCAACTTAAGAAGGCATATCAAACTGATGATGTTCTTTTAGAAGTCTTGAAGTCTCTTAATAAGACAGATGATGTGGAAGTGGCTGATGAGGTAAATCTATCACTTCTGTTCTTATAAGTCTTAACCCAACCTTTCATGGAAACATTATGATACTATCATGAATCGGGTTATCCAATTATTGGCTCACTAGTTTCTTATTTTTATAACTTGGTTGTAGGTTTTGGAAGCCCACAAAAAGATCAATGAAAGAATCCATGCTTTATGTGCCTTAGATGATGATGACGACATTTTTGAAGAATTCCCATCTATAGAACTAACTGGATTTGGTATATCCAAATTGAAAGTAGAAAATGTTGATCAAACATCTTCTATAGAAAAAGAAAACAAAGACAGCACTATAAAAGAAGGAAACAAACAACTTCTAGAGCAATTGAGGATGACAAATGCACAAATACAACAGTTTCTTGATATTCAAAGTAAAACTTACGCAATGAAAGAAATTGGAGAAGAAAACAGAATCTTGCTCCTGGACCTAGATTCTATACAAAATCCGCATATTCGTTCATATATGGAGGGTGAACAAACAAGGATTTTGCAAAAGCGTAATTATCAATACTGATATTAAGAATCTATCCTTTGCTATATTTCGCTTTGACAATATTTTAATGATCTTGGTACATCTAAAAATGATTTACCAGATGATTAATTTAATAGTTTTTGTTGTGTTTGTCTTTAACTTTGCTACGTGTTCTGGAATTTATAGTTACTTGCTATTTAATATATGTCATTGTTGTATTTTTAAACCTTATTAAGATAAATAGTTTTTTTTGTCATAGAAATTTCATTAAAACTAAAAAATAGAGAATGAGTTGAAAAATGACCCAATTCTAAAGTTCATTACATAAATAAGAAGGTTTGAGGAGCCTTTTTTGCTAAATTATAGGTTAAAAAATTGATGATCGATCTAGAGAGTTGAGAGGAAAAATTGATGCAAAATCAGAAGAGAACGATCAGATGTCTTTCACAATTCCAATGATTTTTATTGATTGGAGATTATTGAAAAAAATAACTCTGATGAGCGTTGAATTGTCAAAGAAAATTTTAAAAATTAGAAATTCTAAGGTTAGCGCCTTATAGAGGGCTGATTGCATCGCCATAGCTGTAGAAAAAGAGTTTAATTGTCTGGATTTGACTTTAATAATCATGAGCAATGGAGCAGAGATTGTGTAGGCTCTATTCTCATGTGATAACTGAGGAGACACTGAAACATACCTGAATGAATAATATTACACATACAATCGAATAGTTACTGGTCATCATTCCTATCTCTAACCCTACACTTTTTTTTCATTTAGTACTATTTCGAAGTAAATCATTTCAACGGTATACCCAAGCTGTGTATACCATTTGCAGCATTCTATTAAAACATCTTATATTTTGTAATTTGTTAATATAGTATATTTACTTGTTAAATATCCAAAATAATAATTTACACTATTGTAGCTTATTAAATGTTGAAAACGTTTATGAAATATTTTCAATAAAAAATGCTCTAGAACTTATAACTTTTGTAGTCAACACCAATTTCTTTTACTTTAGTTTCTATATATACAAATAATAGTTATTTTGTCTGTTGATTATAGTTTTGTTATATAGTACACTTCCCTAATTTTCTTATATTAAACCTTTTTCTGTCAACTTTTAAAATATTTAATTTCATGATATGGTCCAGCATCGACACTTTCTAGACAAAGATAACGTGTCCTTTCCTTTGACCGGATAAGGTCGAAAGATGAAATGGACACCCTTACTTCCACGTCTCTGCCTTTGGTCAAATACGCAAGGCGCTATCTCCCTCTATAAATTTACTTAAAACCTTTTTTTGCATGAATTAGAGTTACAATCTCAAACTCATCTACAAATCTAGACACACATCCAAGAAAGAAGAGAAACGTTGAATATCATCTCATCGAGTATTCTATCTATTACAAAAAAAAATGGAAGGAAGCTTGGGAACGATGTTTATGAAGGTGGTCTTGTTTGCTCTGGTACAAGGTTTGGTGTATCTCATCCTCACTAAGTCCTCGAGGGTTTTCTCAAAATCAAAATCTTTTAAGAGGGCTTACAGTTTTCGACCGGCGAGGTCCGTCAGCATCCGCCGGATTCTGGCGGCGCTTCAGGATATGCCTGCCGGTGGCGAGATGTCTCCTTCCTCTAATGGCTCGTCTTCGTCTTCTATTGCCTCGCCGTCTTTACAAGATGATGCAGCAACAACAACAGCTACATCGCCATCTTAGAGACATATAAATGATCATTATTTGAAATTTGTATTAGAGATGTTTATCTCTAATTTGTTATCCCATTATTTTTTTATTGGTTTTTAGTTTTTTTTTGGGAACATTTGTTTCGTGTTTCTTTTAGTTTTGATTCGTTATATTGATGTAAAATTGGTAAATATTTATGTAGATACAGTATTAAGCCATACCATGTACATTCCAGAACAGTTTAGCACGTTATAATTTATATTTTATAAATGATTTTTTTTTTTTTAGTATGATCCTTTATAGATATTGGTTTTTGTGCGCATTGATATTAGCTTTCCTTCTGCTGGGGGTTTGGCGACGTACCAATCATGAAAATGCTCAAAGGGAAGGTTGACGAATCTCAAAAGGGCTAAACATTACGAGAACTCTCCCTTACCACTTTATACATGACTTCTACGTAAGGCAAAAGTTTTTTCACATTCCAAACATTTCCATCAAAGGGATAAACTCTATGAAAACCGCACACTGATAGACTTATTGTGTATGTGTCAACTTTACAAAATTACAAATTTCATCATTATTTAATCCCTCCATGATAACACAGTTAACTTGTAATGACAACATAGACCATCTACAAAAGCTCTCGAGCGTCAAATATCGAGCTCTACTGCAATCAAATGGAAACTGCCCTTTTACGCCTAGTCAGAAACTCAAACTTTGCTGGGGGCCAAAATATCCGGGCTGATATTTGTCGAATCAAGCCCACATTCTAAGCTTTGGTGTAGCTTTCTCGCAAGAGTGACACCGTTAATTTGTAGTAATAGCCAAATTCTTCAACCTCTTTTGAATGACCATAAGCTTCTGAGCCTGCCTAAAATTCTGTACATTCCTTCACAAAGAGCAACTTGAGCTGTATTTCTGTTAGAAGAACGCTTATTAGTAGTAACAGTGCCGGCCCATTAAATATGAGGACCAGAAGCTAAAAATAAAATGAAGGCAGTTTGGGATTCAAACTCTCTACCTTTGACACTATATATGGCAATCACTACCATTACACTATAAGCAAATTGCTGTTTATTATCGTCCAGTGTAATACATATAATTTTTCGGGCCGAAAGCTCCAACTTGTAATGTTTGGTGTCATGGTCGCTACTAAGTAGTAGCAATGTTTCTTGGTACTGAGCTTGAACCAACCTGGCGAGAAGATACAACAATTAAGGATCCATTATCTAAAACAAACACATAACACATATAGTATATCCGAAATGTCATATTAGCAAACGACAAGATGGAGTTGAGAAGTAGAGAGAAAGATGAAAAATTTACCAAGAAACCGTTCAACTTCTTGAAACCCACTTGCCAGTCATTGATTTTGGAATCGTTGTTAACACTGCAAGAAGCAACTCGAATGAGAATCGTGAGTGTTGACACAATCATTCAATAGTGATTAAAGTGATAGAGGTCGGAAAGAGGTGAACTTTGGTAGATAGAAAGATACTTCTTTTGGTGAAAAGCTAAAGGCGTTGAAAAAATGAAGACGGCACTAGAAAAGTTGAAGAGAGTTTGGCTAAAATACATAAAACTCTTTTGTCTTTTCCGAGACATCTGCCGGTCTCGCCGGTGACCCGGTTAGCGGCAATCTAACCGATTCTAATGGAAAATTAGATAAGATCATTCAGCTAGCATGATTCGGATCCGATATCTCTGGTACGTGAAATTTTATCCCATGCCTTCGCCACTAATTAAATTTATAAATAATAAGGAGAAGAAATTATTATGTTTCATATCTCGATTATTGACAAAATTATAGAAAGCCGACAAAAATAACACAACAGTCAAACAATTTACTCATCATGGTTGCCGGATGCACATGCATGTGAATCCAACATTAGAAAACAAATTTTTTTTTCTTTCTTTGCTGGACTGATAAATAAAAAGGTCACTAATTTTTCTTAATTGCATGCAACCATACTCACAAATTTTGCTAGCCAAAAATCAATTCATTTCATTGGAAAAGACATACCCTACTGACGAGTAAATACTATTTAGGGGTATATAAGGTGACTGGCTCTAATCGTTTTTAATGTAAATATGTTTTTTTTTTGAAAAATGTAAATATGTTTTTACTGAGTAAATATATGGATAAATAGTGTATGCATATCTACCTTGATCCATACTCCTCAGTTTTCCTATGATCGACATGGCTGGCCTAATGATATCAGTTTGTATCGTCTACACTGCACACATCCATTGTTGCTTATCCTTCTCAGTTCCACTTTTAGTATATATCACCAAGCAAAAGAAAAAAGAGATAATTTGCCGAAACACCATATTGAGACCTCTAATTAGAGGTTTACATCTGATGTGACTTATTCAGATTTGTTGACCAAATTGCCCTTCATTTTCTCTCTTTCTACTCTTGTAGCTCTGTCATCCGTATGACTTTTTCTGAAACAACCTTTTCAACTCTCTCTCTCTCTCTCTCTCTCTCTCTCTCATCTCTTCTTTTAATATTTCACTTTCTCTCATTTCCTCTTTAAATCTGATATACGTTTTGTTCTTGTTTTTCCTAGTTTTATCTCATATGCTTTTTTTTTTATTTGTATGTTTTCTAGTGTTATTCGGATTAAAGAAAATATTATATCTATGTTTATCATATGTGTTAAAGTTACAGCTAAAATTTTTATTAAGGCATTACAAATAACACTGAGCTTGATATCAAATAAGTATCTTAACGTATAGTTTATAGAATTACAATTTGTGACATGTTTTTTTTTTTTTAAATCGCCAAAGACGTTAACACTGATGTTAGCTGTTAACAAATAATGTGGATGTCAACAAATGTGGTAACTGTTAACAAATACATGTACCAGATGTATTAACAGAGACATTAACTGTTAACAAATTTTGTAAATGTTAACAGATGTGTTAACCGTTAACAAGACATGTATTATAAGTGTTAACAGATATGTTAGTTGTTAATAAATTGTGTAGATGTCAATACATGCGTTAGATATTATATGTTAATAAATAAATATTGTTGAAGTTTCATTTCTCTATCAAAATGAGTAAACTTAAAAATCATTTACATATAAAATTGTAGATGAGAAAAAAAATCAAGAAAAAATAGTGTAAAAAGAAAGAAATGAATATGAAAAATAGATGTGTGGTTTAAAGAATCGTTGGAGAGAGGAAGAATCTTTGGAGAGAGAATGTCAGATATAGGCAACAGGATTCAGAAGGGCATTTTGGTCCAACACCAACCAAATTGTAAAAAAAGTTGTTTTAATGTCAACTCATGGGTAATTCACTAATTTCACTCCATTTTATGGGTATTTGCCTAATTCTCTCAAGAAAAAACATGCTGAAATATAATTTCCACTAGGTATATATCCTTCACAAAAACACATTGGATCAAACTCTTAACAACCAATATAGATGACAAAAACACATTGGATCAAACTCTTACAACCAATATTGAACTCCCTGTCAACATGTAACCATTCTAAATCATTTTTCATTCAGCAAGCGTTTTTGTGGTTAAAGGCTACCGAATTTTCATTTTTAAACCAATATAGTGTTTTGCTAATGTTACATTGATATCAGCTTAAAAAGTAATACCATGAATGATTAATCGTTAGTTGATAAAAGACGATGGTTCTCTATATATGCTAACCAATTAAAAGAAGTTTGAGCATGCATCTTATACAATTTTAAACCATGGTGGCTAGTTTAATGAATCTTGCACGTAAGATATAAAATCAAAAGAAAATATAAATTACAAACTGATCATTACTAAAAGAAAAAAATGAAGAGTATGGAAGAATGATTGCATCTTTGTCCTGTTTCACACTCTCACTTCACCTATCATTATTATACATTTATACTAATGTGCAACTCTTCGACATGCTAAGCTTCACACATCACACCTCGCGGTCCACTTTAATAATGTTGTATTAAATCTTGTCCAGTGATAAATTTAGCTATTTTGAGTTTTAGTTCCAAAAAGTTTTCGATCAATTTACTGAGTATAAGTTCCATCAGCTAAGTCTAAAACGAATATCAACTTTTAGAACCAACAAGACCTACGTAAAATGTTTGGATTGGTACCCAGCATTTTGTATGTAAAGAAAACATGTAAGCATATATTTCATGTTCAGATTATATATAGTTTCCATTTTCAATTGATTATGATAGATTTGAAGGAAATAAATCATTCTTAAAACAATTTATTGACGAGTTGTATATTTATTTATGCAAAGTATCAAACTTGTTTATCAAGCTTTACATATATAAAATAGGAAAATACCTTATAAGTAAATATATACTAACTTCCTAAATGCTTACAAATATATATATTCAAAGAAATCTAATAGATGAGAATAAACATTCAGGCACACGTATCTGTTTCACTTTATCGATTTATTTTAGGGATTTAGTTTATATAAAATACTACGGTGGTTGGCGACAGAACAAGAATATATACATGTTGGTGAAAAAATTAAATCTTGTTATAGAATAAAGGAGAAGGTTGTAACTCTGTATATCTTATTCATCACGTGCACATACATATATATACATACAAGAGAATAAGCATATTCCTTAGGAGATAAGGATTACAACAATAAAGGGGATGATTATCCTAATCCTATAATGATTAGGATAACTACAACATATGGATAAATACAAGGGAGGATAGTGACTGAT